CCCCAAAACCCCAAAACCCCAAAACCCCAAAACCCCTTGTGGATTTTTATTTATTGAAATTTTATTCAGGAGGTTTTGGGAGGAGGATATAGTTAAAGGATCCCTTTTAAGACGAGTTCGTTGTTCTGTGAGGAATCTAGAAGTGAGATATTGATGTTACATTTTGTGAAGTCAAGTTCTCTCTTAGCTTTTCCCATCTTTACCATCAAATCTTTCCTGACTACCTTTTTAAATGCCTCGTTAAAATTGAAGTCAACTGGAGAAACCTTGGAAGTTTTAATTTTCTAAATAAAATTATCAACTCTTTACCTTGATCTTTCTGTCATCTTTTGAGAATGAATAGGCGAGGCTATCTAGTCCTGGTACAAAAGACCTGTCAGTTTCATAAAGGCCAGGTCCAGGTGTATCTCTGCTATGAAACGCCTTCGAGTTCTCTTTAAAATACACAGAGGAATATTTATCAAAAGTGCCTATCTCATTGTTAGGAGTGCAGGTAGTGTTACTTACAGCCAAATGTAGAAGAGAGCATTGTTTTGTTATTCATTCCTGACAAACTTATATCATTCCCCTTCCTCTTATCCATTGAGTTTGCCATTACTGAGTTATATGATGAAAGATTGTACAGGTTAGGTGCTGGATTAGCGTTTACTTTATACAAAGGATTCTGCTTTGTGAACCTACTCTCAGTACCAACTTTGCCGAGTTCCTTAAAGTCCATCAATGAGGATCTATCAAATGAGCCGAGATATGACCCTGGGCCAGGAGATACTGCTTTCTCATATCTGTTCAATGAAGAGGATGATCTATATGAAGTAACTACTAAAAATACACATCATGATTTGCTCTCTCAGCACCTGGACCTTTAAATCGCTTATCTTTGGACATTGACCAACCTCCTCTAGTCTGAGACATTACAGTATAACTTCTTTCAGGAGAATAAGCACCTGGACATGGAGAATCTCTCGAATAATAATCAACATTATGTCTTTTAGACAGCACTGGAGGTTTATTTATTAGAAAAATCATGCCTTATGCCGAATGAATAAGCCGGCTGATTTCTTCTTTGAGAATTCTGAATCCTCTCACCAATCCTTACCACATTCTCATAGTCTCCTGGACCAGTAACATTATTGTACGCCTTTAGGATAGACCTCTGTTTCTGTAAACTTTCTATATTACCCTCAAATATTTTGAACATACTTGCCCTGAGATGTTTAACATCATAAATTTTCCTGAAGGCCATCTTGCCTTTCGACAAGGAGACTTTGTAATTCCTCTATCAGATCATCGTAAAGCGTACCTTCAAGGAGCCTGCTCTCTTGATAGTCTTGATTTTCTTTGAAGACATCTTCAATAATAATCCTGTGGTCAGGGGTTTTGGGGTTTTGGGGTTTTGGGGTTTTGGGG